ACATGAGTTGTCATGTCACCACTAAAGAATTAGTTGACTAATAGTAAATAAATAAATAAAACTAAAATCACATAATTAAATAAGGAATACAAAGCGTAATTGAAAATTACATTTGGAGATAAAAAAAAACATTTATATTTACTTTTAATTAGCCAAAAGATGGTAAGTTACAAATTAAGGAACAAATTTTGTAATTAAATGTTTATTGAGTGATATCGAGGAGTTATTATATTTTTATATCATTAATTTTTGGCATCATATTATGAATTAAATATATTTTTAGCTAATGTAAAATGATATAATTTTGATTTTGATTTAATTAAAATATTTTCCCTTTCTCAATACTCTAAAATATAAAAAACATTATTTTTGGTTTTTTAATTTTTTTTATCTTTTAAAATTATTTTTGTTTGATTTTTATGCTTCCAAAATCTGCATTTTTTTTACTTATATAAGTCCAAAAAGTAACTCATTAAATAGCATTAAGTTTTATAATATTGAAAAGATCTAAATATATTTTTAGCTCCTATAAATTTTTTTTCTTTGTTTTTCATCTCTAAAATTTGAAACTACATTAGTCTCTATCTCTATTATTATATGATCATTTTTAACTACTAATTTGTTAATATGATCACTTATTTTTTTCACTTTTACACTCCTTCACCTTAGGACACTATACGAAAGCAAAAAATTATGAAAGTAACTTATCATTTCAAGTGATACTTTACAACCATTGACAATACTTTATCTAGGTGTGACAATTATAAAATTTATATATTTTTAAATTATAAATTAAATATTTAGTAAAAATAAAATAAAATATAAAATATTTACAAATTAACAAAAATGTTCTCTCTCTTTTTACTTATAAGTAATAATAATTACACAATATTTACTAATTTTTATAACTACTTTTTAATTAGTTTCAATCTCTTGATTTTGATTTTTTTAAGTTTGTGGAAATAATTCATGTAATGTCACAAAATTAACAAATAAAGACTAATTCGTGTTCACAGGACATGATTATAATAATCTATATAATTATTAATTAATTACAAATTTAAATTATTAGTTACTTAATATTAATTGTAACGATATTAGATAATTTTTTGTAACTATTAATAGCAAAAGATAATTGATTGTAAATAATTATAATATTTATAATTTTATAAAAAAAATTGATTGAATTTTAGTTACTAAAAAATTCATTCTTTATTTCGTTATTTTCAAAGATAATTAATTAAAAAATACAAATTCAAAAAATATGTTTTATGTGAGAAGAAATATAGAAAACAGAAGAAAAAAACTTTAAATGTATTGAAAATGTTTGTCTTTTAGTCATGGATAACTTTTCTATAAACAAAAAAGCAATTGAGTACCTTCTTCTTGTCTAGTATTTGTCATAAGAGATTCAATTTCTTTAATGAAATATATTTACACATCTGATTGATTGAGTATTTACAAATTCTCTTTTCTTTAATTCTCTATAAAATTAACTATTATGCACAGATAAATAATTATAATTCATGTTTAACACTTTGAATCACAAATAATAATAACAATAATGATAATGATAATGATAAAATTATCTTTGTATCTTTTTATATATGATTTCTATAAATTTGTCATTCTTCATTTGTCGATCTCTAACAACACTAAAATAAAATGTCTAAAATTCAATTTCACAATGAAAGTGCAATATTTTTTCAATTTTTTAATTGTCTTTCTCATGTAAAAGGAGTTATTAAACCCCAAAATATGTGTAAAAAATAATAAGAATCAGAATAGAAAGAAAAAAATATATAGCTTCCATCTTCTTGAAGACAAACAAGTGTAGAATGAGAATCAGAGAATAGATGAGAAAATTGAATACCAATTCACATTGAGTCAATTAATTGGAGAGTATATGGAATTGTAAAAGTAATAAAATAGGTAAACTTTTTACGAAGGAGAAAATAAGTGAATAAAAGAATACTCAATTATGAGAATAAAAATAAAATAGTCATGTTCGTCTTTTTAAGTCTCAAGATTCGTCACCATTAATTCACTATCTATAAATAACACACACAAAAAATGAACAAAAAATTCAAAATTACAAACACAAAAATAAAACGCAAAACACTAACAAAGTACATAACAAAATAATAGACAAAAGAGAAGAATACAAAGTGAAATAAATAACAGAAGGATAATAAAATCTATATAAAAAAATCAAATAAAAACTATTGAAAACACATAAATAACACTAAAAATTATTAAACACGTGATACCTTTAATTGACATCATTAAAATCTAATAATTTAATTTTATAACTAATAGAAAAATTTTGAATAATAAAAGTTAGAAGAATTTTTTTATAAAAAAAAATATATACGAGCTGTATATACTATCAGGCCGTGTTTGGCTGATTATATTAAGCAATTTCTCTTCAATAATGTCATTTTGTAATTTTCATTTTCTAATTAAGCGTTTTTTCTTCTCTTATTTCAGTTAAATGAAACTTCAAGCGTTATTAATAAACTTTTGGATGCAAGAGTGTCTTCTGCTATTGGCAGGTTCTTAGTTTGCTTGATATGTATTTTAATTTTTAAAGTACGGGACTACTTGTATATTATTTTAAATTTTACGTTGTATTTGAATTTATTATAGAAGTTTGAATTATAAATCTTTCAAGTATGTTATGTTATTTTGATCATTGGTAATGAAATTTCTTTATTCGTGTTGTGAGTATTTTTTTTATTAAAATTTTTATAGCTATCCAAAGTTAAGATGGAAGATTGTAATTAATACATGTAAATTATCGTACTAAAATGAGTAGAAACTAATGAGGCAAAAATTATCAAACCTCATTAAAAAAAATCTATATTTTTAGTGTCTTAAATCCTGCATTGAAAAATTTGTAATAACGTAGACTTTTATTTTATATAATTTTTATTAAATTCGTCAATATTTTGGTAACGATAAATATTCATATATATAACTATGTATCTCTAATATATTTTTTAATATATATTGTTATTTTTTGTTGGCCGATTAAAAAAAAAAAACCCTCCACTATTGGCAGCTTTAAAGCTTTCATTAAGAAAACCCTAGTATGCTTAAAAACTTTCAATAAAAACCTTCTACGCTCAGTGTCACTTTAAAAGCTTCGCAATAAATCTGTAGTAGAATAATCAAGATACCAGAAGTTTTTAGAAAACGTTGCAAATTACTTGTGACGAGTATAACTGTGGAAGTTTTAAAACCTTAGATCGTGGATGTTTTAAACCAAAATAACCTCCATAATTTGGTGCATTTCTTGAAAATATAATGTATTATTTACATTCTTGAAGACCTTTCAATGGTCTATTTGAGAGTAAAATGTAGAATACCAAATAATCTTCTATTTGAAAAATGCATCAACTATAATGCTGAATATTTTTCAATGTTCAATTAAATAGTAAAATGTAGATTGCAAAAATATTTCTCTTTTTGAACGAAAAATTATCAACTCCCATTATTAATAGTGCTTATAATTAACAATTGTTATTGAAGCATGATGATATAGCACGAAAATTTACTTAAAAATAAAAAATAATTATCAAATAAGAAACATTATTTATAAATTAAAAAAAATATTTTTTAGTCTTAATTTTTTCAATAAATAATGGAGAACACAAATTAAAAAAAATAGCCATACATCATCAATCCTTTATGAATCAAAAACTAATCACTCATCATCGTTATATATTTCTCATGGTTATATAATTTCTTTGTTTTTACTATCTAATATTTTTTATACACGTTAAATTAATTATGTAAATTTTATTATTAAATTTTTATATGCTAAAAATATTATTTATTATGTTTAATTAAATTAATATTTATTATATTAATTACTACATTAATTTTTTAAATTGTCAAATAGTAAATTATAAATAAAAAAATTATAAAAGTGTTGATTATTTATAAGATTCCACTATTAGAGCAAAATTTGTAAACATGTGGTGTAAGTTGCTTAAAAATGATGTAATATGATGGATTTCATTTAAAGTAAAATAAAAATCTTAATAAGTTACTTATAAGAATCACTATTGAAATTTTTTTTGTATTTAAATATGCATTAAGAAATTATAATGACAAAGATCTTTTGATGATCTACTTAAAAATTAAACTTGATATTAAGAGTTTATACTCGTGTACTTATTCAACCAACTAAATTAGTTGATAATGAAAATCTTGTAATGATCCATTAAACAATAAAATATAGATTATCCAAAGGTCTTTTATTGAAAAGAAATACATTACATAATTAAATTTTAAAAACATAATGAGTTAATTATATTGTTACAGAATTTTCAATGTTGTATTAAATAAAAATGCAAATTAAAAAATACCTCAATTTTTATTATTTTTTTATAGTAATATGTATTTCCATACTTAAATTAGGAGTGAATGCTCACCTATTCAACATCTATCAAATATTCGATGAAAAATATTCCTGTGAGATGAAAAACATTATAAAATCAAGTTAAGTAATAAATAAACTAGAACTAATCGGTAATTATTGTCAGCTTGCAATTTATATATTATGAGGATTATTGATAAATAAAAAAAAGAGAGTTAAATTCATGATTTTTTAGTAACAAATAAAAAAAACTCGCGTATTAATTATGTAACGTGAGCAACATTCAATTTATTAGTAATTTAAATTTAGTAATTTGTCAGTAGTATAAATTTAGTAATTTCTTATTAATAAAAAATTATTTTTTAAGAATGGTCATTGGTTGACTTAGCAATCTTGATAACAAATTCAATTATTAAATATGAATTATTAATGTGAATATTAATTATGCTATTAATGTTGACTGTTTTTACCTTGAAAGTTGAAAATACAACTTTACACGTACTCAAACTGATTTTGACCCGATGCATTGTAACCAATGGTTGTGCATTCTTATAGATTCGTCTAAATCCCAACCGACGAAGGAACCTTTGATTAAAAAACTCCTCACTACAAAATGAATTCTTCAGCCCTACGATATTCCTTCATGTTCACCCTTTGCTTAATTCTCATTTCCCATTCTCCTTTGCTAGCAAATGCTAGAGTTGATGTCCAACGTAGGTTGCTTGGTAATGATTCTGACTTGATTAGCCAAATTTGTAATAAAATTTTACATGACAAGATCAACTGCACGAATATTCTAAGGGCTGATCCAAGAGTCTTGCAAGCAAAAACCCTTTATGAATTTTCAAAGGCTGTCTTGGAGTTGGCCTTGAAAAAGGGAATAGAAGGGCAAAACCTCCTCAAGGAATTGGAGAAAAAGGTTAATTCTCTAGCCATTGCAGAATGTGCAAACTCTCATTATAATGTGGTGGTTGGATCATTCAAGATGGCTCTAATTGAGTTGAAACAAGATCCTCAATCTGCTAACTATGATGCCAAAGTTGCTGGTAATGAAGCTAAAAGTTGTGAGACTTTCTTAGTTGTTTCGCATATTGTTAACCCTGTCATTTCTGCTTTTAACCACCAAATATCATTGCTTAGCAATATTGCATTTTTAGCCACAAATAAATTTATTATTTAAGGCAGTTTATGGTCAACCTAAGGTGTGGAGATTATTATTGTTTAGGCTCTGCTTTGTTATAGAGGAAGAGTAATTAATAAAATAAAATGGCACTTTACTATTATTGTTCTCAAGGTGCATGTCAACCATCATCTTTTCTGAACAATGTATGATGAGATTGGTATCCGTTTTCCTTTTACTTCAATTTGTCTATTTCGCGATATTTGATTGAGACCTTGACTTCATCTTTGTACTTTGTTTAACATTCCTG